GGAAGCTAAAAAAATAAAAAATACAAGTAAGCTTACTAATATTTATAAAAGATAAACAGATTCACAGACAAACAGATTCACATTCATGGCTACCAAAGGGGAAAGATGAGGGGGAGGGACAAACTGGGAGTTTGAGATTGACATAGACACACGACTATATTTAAAACAAATAACCAACAAGGACCTCCTATACGGCACAGGAGACTCTGCTCAATATACTATAATAACCTAAATGGGAAAAGAATTTGAAAAGAATAGATATATGTATACGTATAACAGAATCACTTGGCTATCTATACACCTGAAACTCACACAACATTGTAATTCAACTATATGCATGCTAAGTCACTTCAGTCGTGTCTGACTCTTTGCAACCATATGCATCGTATAGTCCAATATAAAGTAAAAATTGAAAAAAAATTAAATTCAGTGGTACTGTAAAGTCAAAAAAATAAAAATAAAAAATTCAGTTCTCAGAAGAGTCTCAAAGATGCCAATCATCATAAAATCTTATAAATTAGGTCTCCATCCTTCATAACTCCTCTGGCCTTCTGCTTGCAGAAGACTTCACTGCCAAGCCATCTGTTAATTCGAATGATTAGTCCCAAGTTATTGGAATAGTTGAAAGAGGGAAATTAAGCATCCTTTTAAAAAATATTTTTCCAAAACATCCTCTCTCTCATCTTCATAAATTATCGACAGGAAGATTCTCCAAAAATAAAGAGTAGAAAGAATCCATAATAACATCTTATTTCAGCCCCTGGACACAAGTATTCCTGGCCACTTCTTTGAAAACGTTTTGCTGATTTAGCTGACCTTCAAGAATGAGGGCCCAAGATTTTCCCAGATTTTAATTGGGAAATTCTACCCTGTGCCTCCATCGAAAAATTACTCTCCATTTCGTTCTTGGGTTTCAAATTCCTCCATGTTATAGCCCCTCAGGTCACCCCAAACAAATCACCCTATCATTGTCATTCTGAGGAAACCAGGTCCTCCCCCCTCAAAAATATACAGTTTTGCACGCACTCACAAAGTCATGTATGTGCATGCACACACACACACACACACACACACACACACATGGTGGGGTCAGCTCCCTCACCAAGAAGCCAGTTCTGATCTCTCTAACCAGGACCTGCCAGGTCAAAGGAGACAAGAAAGTTGTTTGTAAATTGTGGGTGACCAAAGCCTATCTCTAGTTTCCTTTGAAGTTATTAATGGCACTCCATCTTCAGACACCCAACACTTTCAGAGTGTCTGTCACTCTGCTGTGAAATATTGGCTTTGGGAGGTGGTGGCAATAAGCTCTCTGAGGTCCTTTGATTCCCAGGGGGTGTTTATTTTAATGCATTCCACCCCACCTCCAACGCAATGGTGTTCATAACGGCCCATCCACCCCATGCTTGCTAGTTTATCCGACCCCACATCCCTGCTCCATCTTTGACACTTCAATCAGGAACGAGAGGTGATTAATATTCCCTGGGGCCAATGCTTAGACCACACCCCACAGACTCCCACTGCCCTTAATGGACATACTCCATGTGCTTCGTAATCATGGGGGAGGAAACCCTTTGAAAATGGGCACCTGTGACCCAGACCTCTGGCTCAACTGACTATTCCAACAACAAACATGAAAGCACAGTCATCTGCTATTACCACCTGGTCTGCTGCTGCAACATTATTACCTACGTGGGGGTGGGGGTGGAAGGGGACTACATTCCCAGTGGGCTTTGCACTGCGTTGGGCCTCCCAATCTTAGCTCCACATTTAGATTTTGTTTCTGATTTTCTTTTTCTGTTTGGGGCTGGTTTTATCCCCCATTCACTGGATTTTAGTAGAACAGGCTAGTGTTGAGATCAGAAAGCTACCGAGTGTGATGCTCTCAACATGGACTAACAGGGCTGGTCCCTGATGCGGAGAGAAGCTTTTGAAGGGAAGACAGGATGAGGAGAACCATTCAAGATCAGAGACTTTTTCCAGCTGGCCTCTCCACTAGTACTGAGGCCCCGGGTCACCGTGAGCACACGGGATACACACGCATCTTAGGAAGAAGCGACCACTTCCATTGGAAGACATATGGAAGATGCCCCCACGCCCCCAGGAGGAGAGAAGAGCTCCCTGCTTTGGACTGACAGCCCCACAGTCAGAGCAAAGGGCTGGACCCACAGGCAGTGACTGCAGGGGCCCTGCCTGCCCTCGTCCAGACTGCCACCAGGTCTTTTTCCCAAAGAGAAGCTAAGGGGGTCCCCTAACCCAGCACACCAGTCTCAGGATTGAAGCTCACTTGGACAACATGCCTGCAGGTGTGAATATGTCCTACTGGGAGGCGGGCTGCATGATCCTGTTTTAATGAATACATATTGATTTAGGTTTATAGCAGAACTTTCCTACCAAAGCCATTTGCACACAAGGAGAGCACAGACCATGAGTGTCCATGCATGCCACTGCCTTTTCCACTTAGAAGCACATTTTGAGGTCCCTTCTGTTGGTTCTTGGACCGGGGGAAAATTGTTGAGGTGGTTCGTCATTGAATTGTGCCTGTCCCTCCAAAACATATATATACAAGTCCTAAACCCACAGAACCTGTGATGGTGACCTTACTTGAGAAAACATCTTTGCACATGAAATTAAATTATGAATCTCAAAGTAAGATCATCCTGGGTTTAGAATGAGCCCTAAGTCCAATGGCAAGTGTCCTTATAAGAGAAAGACAGGAGAACATTTGACCCACAGAAACACAGGAGAGAAGCTGTGCAAAGATGAAAGCAGAGACTGGAGGGGTGCAGTCACAAGCCAAGGATGCCTGGAGCCCCCAGAAGCTGGGAGGCTGGGTAGGATCCTCCCCTGGAGGCTCTGGAGAGATTGGCGGCTTCTGGCGTCCAGAACTGAGAGAGAATACATTGGGTTATTTTAAACCACCGCATTTTGTGGCAATTTCTTCTGCAGCCCTAAGCAATTTACCAATCCAGAGAGCATCTGTTCTATTCCCCCTATGTCTGAACATCCAGAAGAAGCCATCTCTGCTGAGAAATCTCCCCCTTGGGCTCCTCCCTGAAACACAGACCTCATCCCTCACTAAACAACAGGGACACTGAGTACCATGCGCCCCACATGGTCTCGGCATTCAGCATACGCCGGGCCTTACATGTGTGTGCATGCGCAGTCCCTCAGTTGTGTCCAACTCTCTGCGACCCCATGGACTGTAGCCTTCCAGGCCCCTCTGCCCCTGGGATTTCCAGGTAGGAATACCAGAATGGTTGCCATTTTCTCCTGCAGGGGATCTTCCCAACCCAGGGATTGTACCTGTGTCTCCTGCATTGGCAGGTGGATTCTTTACCACTGAGCCACCAGGGAAGCCCCAGACCTTACACACGTGCGCTTATTATGCTCCGGAGCTAAGAATCAACATTTCTCATCTACTTAGAGTGTGAGAGTTAATTCCTGTACATGAGTGGCTCACCCTGAGCCACTGTGGGGGTAAGACCTCTATCAGCGGCCTCTCTCCAGACAGAAGGTTCCCAGGAGGGAGCTCGGTGACTTCCAGTGTCACTCCCCACAGGATTGAAGCAAAGGATGGACAGCAAGCCTGTCTGTCTGTCTTTACCCCACTGCATTTATCAAGGGCAGGCATTGTCTTCTTCTCCTTCTAAGTTCTGAGCATGGAGCTTACGAATAGAAACATGGAAGCTAACATGAGTTTCCAGGAACAGCTCGACTCAGCTCTCTCTATGGTGCTGGGAAGAGAGCGGGTGGGAAAGCACTGCCATTGGGGGCAACTGGCAGAATTCTGGTGGGTTCTGTTGGGCTTTCTCGGGGGTGGTATCACCCAAGTACACCCCAGTGGGCAGGTCCCTGGATTGTATCTCCTTGAGAAGGAGGCAAGTAATGGAGTTCAACGTGAGGAGTCAGAAAATGAAGAAAGGGCAAAGCCCAGTCCCGTCATTGCATTTTTGTCTAGCCCACTGCCCACCGACAAGGTCTTAACCCTTGATGTTCCATCAAAAGACAGTGCTTTTCCTTCCACAACTGGCCATCCATTGCAGCAAATACCTACTTTGACTTAAACTCTCACTGAGGAAAAAAACGAGTGCTCATCCTTGCCTAGGAGAGGGCATGGGGATTGCAAGGGGGGGGCGAGGGATCCAGGGGCAGCACAGAAGCGCCATCTTCCTGAGGGGGCGGTGGGGCTTCACAGAGGCTGAGAAGAGGGGGCCCCAACCAACTGTCCCCACCCTCAGGCAGAACCCAAGGTCAGCCCTTGACCCAAACAGACAACAATCAGCCACGAAAGACAGGTAATTCAGTCACCACTGGCCATATGGGACCACCACCTTCTCACACAAGGTCTTGGTCTGCCCCCCATCAAAACACTGCCCACAGGGCTAAGGCTGGGCTCACGAATGCCCAGTGGAGGGAGGAGGGAGGGGAAACTGCAATCCAGAGAAGTTAAGTGATTTGCCATGGCTGCCCAGTGATTGCAATTTAAAATAGCCCATTTCCAGGAAGCAGTCTTCATTAGTTCATCCTTTGTTTACTTCCGAGCATCACGAAGAGCCCGTCTTGTAAGCCTCCCATGGAAGCAATGTTCCCAGCCACTCTCTCATTACAACTTCTCCTGCTACTTTTATTTCACATTCACTCGAAAGCCCATCCATCGACCCACTTAGCATCACAGTAGCCCTGCAGAAAGAGTCCAGTGAACTTCTTCAGAAATGGGGGAAGATGGAGGCAACCAGAGTTCTGACTCAGGCCCTCCATACTCAAGGATGTTTGTTGCATTTCAATGTTGGATTCCCAATATCCCCACCCAGGACCCACTCCCCCAGTTTAGGGTCTCGACTGTCCCACAGAGGTTAAGACTTCGGTCATCACCCCATAAGCATCCATACCCTTCCTGGATGTCAGGCTTCAGACAGCAAGGACAGCTGCCTCTGCCCATTTTACGGCCCCAGCAGCACGGCGCCCACTTTGGATCCATCTCCAAGGACAGCAAGACTTACCTGCCATCTCTGAAGAAGCCTGCCCTTGAGTCCTATGGGGGTCCAGCCCCTTGTCTCGGGGTGGGTGGCCATCTTTTCTCAGAACCCAGTGTGGCTTCCGCAGTCTAATGACTCTCAGCTGGACACGGCTCTGCAAGAAATTCCCTCTGTACCTGGGGAACAAGAAGCACAGGAGGCATAAGCACCCTGGAGAGCATGTGCCCTGGAGCTTGTGGGCACAGAAATTCCAAACAGGATGCTCAGAGGGAAAAGTCCAGGTCCCCATGGGGAGTCCAGGAGAGCACAAAGGGCATGAGGTCCAAGCAGATCGTCAGCTCTCAGGAACCCCTCTTCCTTCCAGTCCCCATTCTCCTGCCAGAAGAATGACAACAGGACACAGCTCAGGTGGTTCTTGTAAGCAAGAAGTGAGGCAGCATCTGCGAAATGCTTCCCACACCACCTAGCACACAACAAGTGCTTAATCAAGGTCAGTTGCTATAATTAAACACTGAAGTATATGACTACTTATGTAACAGGCTGTCCAGTGGAACTTTACACAGTAATGAAAGCCTTCTATACTCCACATTGACCAATATGGTAACCACGAACCATAGGCATCTCTGTAGTGACTGAAAGGTAGTTCATATGTATGAGGAACTGAGCTTTCTGGTCAATTTCATTTTAATGAGTTTAAAGAGCCACAGGTGACTAGTAGCTACCATTATTGGACTGCTTGGGTCCAAAGGGTCTCCTCTGAAAAAACTGGGCCTCACAGACATTCCCCCTAGAGAAGCCCTTCCAGGTCATCTGGTCTAACCTCCAAAACAGAGCCTTCACATCACAGGAGGAGGGTGTAACAAGGGCAGAGAAAGAAAATACTGAGCTTCTCAACATTGCTAACTATTAGAGAAAAGCAAATCAAAACTGCAATGAAGTACCACCTCACACCAGTCAGAACAGCCATCATTAAAAAGTCTACAAGTAACAAATGCTGGAGAGGGTGTGGAAAAAAGGGAACCCTCCTGCACTGTTGGTGGAAATGTAAATTGGTACAGCCATTATAGAAAACAGTGTGGAGATTCCATAAAAAAACTAAAAATAGAGCTACCATATGATCCAGCAATCCTATTCCTAGGCATATATCCAAATGAAACCATAATTTGAAGAGATACATGCACCGCTGTGTTCTTAGCAGCACTATTCACAATACTCAAGACATGGAAACAACTTAAATATCTATCAACAGATGAAGGGATAAAAAAAAATGTGGTGTTTTTATATATATAATGGAATACTACTCAGCCATAAAAAAGAATGAAATAATGCAATTGCAGTGACATAGATGAACCTAGAAAATATCATGCTAAGAAAAGTAAGTCATAAAGAGAAAGACAAATACCATGTGATATCACTTACACGTGGAATCTAAAATATGACACAAATGAAAATTTATCTATGAAACAGACTTACAGACATAGAGAAGAGATTTGTGGTTGCCAAGAGTTAGGGTGGGTGTGGGAGGGATGGAGTGGGAGTTTGGAGTTGGCAGATGCAAACTGTTATATATAAGATGGATAAACAACATGGTGCTACTGTATAGCACAAGGAACTATATTCAATATCCTGTGATAAGCCGTATTGGAGAAGAATATAAAAAAGAATGCATATAGTTGTTGTTTAGTTTCTAAGTCATGTCCAACTCCTTTTGCCACCCCATGGACTTAGCCTCCCAGGTTCCTCTGTTCATGGGATTTCCCAGACAAGAATACTGGAGTGGGTTACCGTCTCTTTCTCCAGACGATCTTCCCCATCCACATATTGAACCCACATCTCCTGCATTGCAGGCAAATTTTTATTGCTGAGCCACAAAAGCCTATGTATATAAACTGATTCAATTTAGAAAGAAATTAACACAACACTATGAATCAGCAATACTTCAACAAATTTTTTTAAAAATACTGAGCTTCTATTTACAGTTATTTTCACCTAGAGTTTCTTATATCTATTGTTGCATGCCCTTTATAATGTACCTAATACTTTAGGGGAGTAGAACATATGTATAATTAACTGGTAAGTAAACATATGCATTTCTTGCTGCTGCTGCTGCTAAATTGCTTCAGTCATGTCAGACTCTGCAACCCCATAGACGGCAGCCCACCAGGCTCCTCTGACCACTGGATTCTCCAGGCAAGAATACTGGAGTTGGTTGCCATTTCCTTCTCCATGCATTTCTTAGGTGCAGGCTAAAAATGTTTTACCCGTAGGAATGTGCAGCCAAAAGCAGACCAGCAAGCTAGTCTAGCACTCCCTTTGCGGCAGGTGAAGGAACTGAAAGACAGACCAACCGCCTGTCATGTGCCCTGACTCGCAGCCCTGTAGCCAGTTGGGAACTGGACTCTTGACTCAGGTCCCTGCACCATTTGACCATTATCAGTGGTCAGCTCTTTCAAAAGAAATCTGCACCGCTTCTAGCTGCCTGGTCAAGCTACAAGGTCTCCCTTCCCAAGGCTCAGTTTACAGAAATTCTGTTCCCACCATGATGTTCTTCAGAACCACCTGGTGGCAGAGGAAAGTGAGGCAACCTGCTTGGCGATTTTCCTTTCTCACTTGTCTGAGCTGTTGCCAACATCCAGCCGCAGTCCCCTCATCATCAGGGCCATTGGCAGAATTTTAAATAAGATCTGCAGACTGCCGTATCCTCCTGGGCGCTGATTTTCACGGCAGCAACAAGGACAAAGTGACTTTTTCTTCATCTTATTCGTGTTTGGAAGAGGCTTCACTTGCAAGCATTACTGCCCCCTGGCCCTGGGCAGGAGCTGTCACTCCCCATGGGTGTCTGCCTGGTTCTTTGAAGCAGCCCATTCCTGTTTGTCAAGACCTCAGGATCCTGAAAGTATGATCTGAGCCCAGGTGAAGAGCCACAGGGCTGCTATTCTGCTAATCATAAACCTCTCAAACCAGCCAGGGCTGCTGCAGGGCCAGGGGGAGAGTGACTTCCAAGCACAGATACAAAGGCAGGAAGGATGGTGTGGGGATGCAGGAACCTTCCTTGCCTATGTGCCGTGGATCACCTTTGCCCCCAGTCAGCGGGTGATTGACACGAGCTCACAGGTGTTAAGAATGGCACAGTTTGAACTGCAGGGAGGTCTACTTTTGGAAAACGGACAAGAGCAAGGAACTGCATTTGATGGAAATAACTAGGAGACTGCCAGGAGAGCTGCAGCCTCTGGACTTGGGTCTTACTGCAGTGGAATCTAGACCCTTTCAACCCCGGGGGGGAACCCAAGTGGACCTTGGCATTATCTTCAAAGCAAGTTTTGTTTAATCGTGGGCAGGGTTGATTTCATTCTCTCCTGGGTTCTCCAGAACATTGTGTGAGCGTCCCTCCTAGAGCAGCATCCCCCCGGGGTGGACAGCCGGGATGGGGCAGGACTGCAAGCTCGCCATCACTGTCCTGCGAGGCCCCTCATGGTCCAGCATGTGCCACGAGTGCCTCAGGTACTGCCTCCACCTTGGCTACTTGTCCATGTCAGGCGTTGGGGTGCCAGCTGCTAGGGACGCACTCTTACCACCTTCTCAAGAGGGCGGCCCTTTGCCAGTGGGAGCCGGCTTGCCTGGAAGGCCTGGAGGAGTGTGCACACCCCCAGGAAGGGCCCTGAGCCATTGTCACCTGGTGTGAGACCCTAGCTTTTGCTTCTGAGCAGGACAATCTCTGTGACGCATGTCATACTCGAGCTCCCGTGGGGTCAAGCACGACTGGATATCCGACCGCACACCTCTTCTGAGTTCTTCCCTGGCCTGGCCTCCCTCACCCCTCACGAGCCTCCCGAGAACCCTCCCTAGGTGAGCCACTTGTACCAACATCCCCATCTCAGGCCCTGCTTCTGGGGAGCCCAACCTCAGATGCAAGATTCCAATGTCATCCCTGCTCCTCCTCTCTATCCTGCCCGCCTATTTCCCCCAGTGGCACTTGGGCACATTTACCAAACCTCCTCAAATATGCATGTGCATGCTAAGTTGCTTCAGTCATGTCTGGACTCTGTGACCCCACGGACTGCAGCACTCCAGGCTTCCCTGTCCTTTTGCTCAAACTCATGACATTGAGTCAGCTATTTAAGGGCCAGATTTTAAATCCAACTCATACCTGACACACCCTCTGCTCTCTTGGTCTCTCTCTGTAGGTCTTCCTTTACGAGCCAACATAATTTCTGTAAGATCAGCACAGTATCTTCATTGATAGACCTCGTGAAAGACCAATCAGAAAGAAGCCTTCTTGCTCCAAGTGAGCACCGGCCAGGGCCCTGAAGACTGGTGGACCAAGGCCACGAGTGCAATGGATACCAACTTTTCCGGAGTCCACTGGGAGGCTCACGAAAGTGGGCAGGGTAGGGCTATCATGTATCTCGATGCTGGTTGAAAGCCACTGACCACCCTGGCTGCTCCAACCCCACCCTGACCCCCACTCCCACTGCCCTTTTTTATCAGGCAAGTCTTGGAAGGTAGATCCAAAGAGGCAGACTTGCAGTTTTGATATATGCTGATCCCAGAGAAGGAATACGTGGTCTGCCACGTGACCCTCCCTTAATCCCACAAGGAATAACAAAGCAGAAAGAAATGGTGGGAAGGCATGGCAGATCCTCAGCACCCTACCACGCAGGATCTGGAGTCAGGGCTCTGGTGCCATGGAGAACATGACAGAGAGCCTCAGCACTAGGTCTGTGCCTCCATCTCACTTCAGAGTCCTCTCATTGAATGAGGAGAGTGTAGCATGACTAAGTGAGCAGACACATAAACTTCCGCTTTACAAGGAAAAACACCACCAATTAGGAGAATCCCGCCTCCGTGTTTTCTTCTGTGTCCTCCGCTTCCGTGATTAATGGGCATTGTAGGGTTCACAAAGCGCCCTTTGCCCACATAACCTCCAATCTCCTCCTTGTTCATCCCAATTCACTCAGGGCTTCACAATTCATTGTTCATTTGTCAGGAGCTTCCTAGATCCAGTCTCTGAGAGTTTCGTGCTTCAGATAGCACTGTACACAGTTACAAATTAATCAATAAAATCCAATTCCATGGTCCAGTGCCTGCTCTGGGCACAGCGGAGACATTTTCTGTGGATGCTCATAATCTCTACACCTCTACTAGTTAACGTCAGGGCAATTAGGTGTCCAAGTAT